GCCAAACTGAATAATATGAGCAGAGGTACTTTCCAACTGGCTGCATCCAAGGATTATTTGAGGTACAGAATGTATTTTTTCATGGAAACACTTATTTCTAACATGACCAACGAATTGCAGTTTATCCGGGACTTTCCCAGCTAATCATTGACTCCCTAGTCTGGAACATGCTCAGGCCTGACCCCTGAAAATGGTTAGTCACTGCTAGGTATGAATTGGATCCCCCACCCCCAAAAGATATGTTGACGTCTAGCCTCTGAAGCTAGTGGAGCCCCCACAGGAAATAAAGATGACAGTGGGCTTCATAAAGCTATCAGCCCTGGGGACCTTGAAGTGGGCAGTTCTACGCTAGCCTGACCTGGCTCAATGGCAATGGTGTTGGTTTTGTGTGTTTTGAAGATATCAGCGATCACCTCATAGGATGGTGGGCCCTCACCCCCTCATCCGATATCACTATTGTCGTAGGAAAGAAGATAAAGTTTCACCGACAGAGGAAGACAGCATGTGAGCACTCGTCTACAAGCCAAGAAATGCCCTGAGTTACCAGAAGGAAGCCTCCTTTCTAAGAGCCAACAAAGGGGAAGAACAGCCCTGCCAGGGCGCTGCATTAGACTCACAGCCCCCAGAACTGTGAGAAAATGAAAGTCTGTCCTGATGGCCGTCCTAGGAAACTAAGGGCCTGGACAACACGAACTAACGCCCTGGCTGCAACAATGGGCTCAAATCTCAGAACAATTGTGGGAAGGCGCAGGACTGGCCATGTTCTGTTCGGTTGTGCAGAGTTTGCTAGGCACCAGAATCAACTCCATGGTGCAGAGTTGAGTTATAGCTGAAATGTAGACCTGAGTCTTAGATGACGATATTTCCTGGACGTATACATCCTAGAGTTCTAACATATCAATCTTGCCTCCCCCTTGACAATGAGAACAAGGCTTTCCACTACAGATAGCCTCCTGCTCTTCTTTGATCTCTCTTTTTCAAAGACCAGCAATGGCCTTCTCCTTTGATTGAAGAGAGACTGGGCAGGAAGGGAAAGGACAGGAGAGTGACGGCAGTGGTGAGCCATGGTCCAGTCATGAGAGCTGGGTCAAGAGCGGACAAACAAAAATCCGGCCCACTGACATCGAGTCCATTCCAACTCACGTTGACCCTATAGGACCAACCCTATAGCCTATTGCTTCCAAGACTGCAAATCCTTACAGAAGCAGGCAGAATCCCCTTTCTTCTGTGAAGTGCTTGGTGGGTTGGAACCACCAACCTCTAGGGTATGTAGGTACTTAGACGAAACAATGAGAAAGGCAGGAAATTGGATGGGAGGAACACAAAGGTTATTCCAGGAGACAAGAGGACCTGGGAGGGGACCTGGCAGTCAGAACGTGCCTGCACCATAGAGATGAACACAGACTTAATGTTCACTCGGGGTATCCCTCCATAGGACACC